GACCTAAAATGACCCGGGCCAACATTTTGTTTTTAGGAGCATGCTGCCTAGGGTAACTTTGTCGTTTATTCAAATGCAAAACTCAGAGCAGTCTGGTATGATTTTGATCACCATGACCTTACCAAGGTCAAGCAAGGTCATTGACCTTAAATGAGCATGCGATTTTTTGCTTGGAACAGTTATTTAGGTGCTAGAGGCCTTTTAGAAACCACCCTGAAATTTGTCCTTGTTTGACCTTATTTGACCCGAGGGAACTGAAAACTGAAAACTTGACCTAGAAACTGAAACCTTTGACGTAAGTGAGTTCATGTATAGGTCAATACACCTTGTAAATTTTGTGTCTCTAGCTTTGCTAGTTCCTGAGATATCGCGGGGGGGGCCAAATGCCCCCCCCACCCGGGCGAAGGGTATCCAACCGGCCACCCGGGCGCGTGTTAAAGCGCGCAAAATTTTTCGGCAAATCTTTTTACATAAGGGTATCAGAATTCACACCATATTTACATCTAGTGTGGCTTTCGTCGAGTGACCCCCATCGTTGAAACAAGATGCCGGGGGCGGCACCACCGACTTTTGACGACAAACGTAAGCGGGTCCACATGTATTCTGAGCGAGCCCGGCAACCTTCTATCACATCCCTGATTTTTTAAGGCATTTTGGCGTTTTGAACACATTCCAAACATTTGTTTATATATATATATATATATATATATATATATATATATATATATATTGTGTGTATGTGTGTGTGTGTGTGTGTGTGTGTGTGTGTGTGTGGTGTGTGTGTGTGTGTGTGTGGTGTGTGTGTGTGTGTGTGTGTGTGTGTGTGTGTGTGTGTGTGTGTGTGTGTGTGGTGTGTGTGTGGTGTGTGTGTGCGTGCGTGCGTGTGTGTGTGTGTGTGTGTGTGTGTGTGTGTGTGTGTGTGTGTGTGTGTGTGTGTGTGTGTGTGTGTGTGTGTGTGTGTGTGTGTGTGTGTGTGTGTGTGTGTGTGTGTGTGTGTGTGTGTGTGTGTGTGTGTGTGTGTGTGTGTGTGTGTGTGTGTGTGTGTGTGCGTGCGTGTGTGCGTGAATAAATCGTACCCATCGCATGATGTGGCCTGCCTACGCTAATTATAACTGGGGCCTCCTCTCTGACCGGCGAAGCATCGTGGGGTTTTACGAGAGCAACTTCGGGTTGCCTGAGTCCTCCTGTCAACCAATAGGGCCTGATGTTGCCACCAAGGGCATCCAACGGAATAGATATTGTCTCATGTGTGCCTTAAACGCCCTGCTTTTAATTTGATGGAATCTCTTGTCTCGGTCATCTGGGATCTCTTGTCGGTGTGAGGAGATCTGAAATTTCAGATGGTAAACATGCGTTTTCCCCTCTGTAAATGGCAAAAGGTGGCTAATCTTCTTGCCCCCCCCCCCCTCCCCACGCCCCGCTGACCTGTTCACACGCAACACTTACCGGTGACCTGAGGCACGTGTTTGGATGGGCTTTCTGTCTGATTCTGACCACTCTGTTTGTTACAGGTGAGTTTAGACTCACGAGTGCGAGAGGTGATCAACATCAAGATGCGCTCGCCCAACTCGCGTACCTTCGACGAGGCCCAGATGCAGATCTACACGCTAATGCACAGAGACTCGTACCCACGCTTCGTAAACTCGTCCGTGTACAAGAAGCTCGCACAACTGAACAATAACAGCCGGAAAGAGAGCGTGGCATGACTACAGCGCGCCACAGCCGTCGCGGCAGCGTCGCAGTTGCCTCCCACCGACTCATGTAGGGTTTGCGAGTGACCTTCGTACGCTCAAAGATATTATTCAGTGCGAATATGCGAGTTGGTGCGCTGCCACTGTCCTCGTGGCGGGATGGTGCCGTGTGTGCCGTGTGCCGGGCGGGCCCCAGACCGCGCTGAGGCCGACCGCAGTCGGGTGTGAAACCGCGCGTACAATTTGCCTTTCATGCGGGACTTTGAGGTAGAGCTATCATTTCCTTCCTCGCCTTTCTCACGGGGAGCGTTCAGTTGACCAGCAGACGGGTGCACGGGCGGAGAGATCAGCTGGCGCTATCGTCGTCGATCTCAGTATTTCGCCGCACCCCCTCGATGGCTTTAATCCACGCTTAGCCGGGCTCCCGCTGGGGCCTGGGACCACCGCTGCATTGTGACCAGCCGCGCCGCCGCCGCTCTGTTTGGAACTGGTTGCCAGTCAGCCTCTGGTATTGCGAGTTCGCTGCTGAGGCGACAGCCAGCTATTGACGGCGCGATGCGTGCTGCGGACTCCTCGTTCTGCGCAGAGCTCATCCGATACTGATCTATCGGGAATCCAATCATTTCGCTGGTCTTGAGGTTGCGAACCATTTTTTTTTTTTAGCATGCCTGATATATTTTTATCCGACTGAGAAGATAGCTTATGATGCAATCATGCGTTGAAAAGTTGTTAGGAGTTTGCCCTGACCTAGACAAACTTACGAAAATGCTTGAAAGAGGTGCAGCAAGGCTTGCTTGCATCAAAGGTCATCTATTGCGTGGAATTTAACACACACAGAGCTTATCATTGTATATAGCACCTCACCAAAGCGCTGGGATACCTTCCTCCAGCGATAGGGAACCCTGGCCAACATTTGACAGCAAGCAGTAAAGCTCAAGGCACAAAGCTTTCCCAGTGTAAATCCTTCCAACTAAAACAGGCAAGCAAAATGATTTCGTACAAATCTGAATTAGTTAGTCGGTGGCTTCGCTCCTATGCGGGACGTGTAACTCAGTGCACTATCGGCGCCTTTACCTTGCAAGACAATTTCGATACGCTTTTCGCGCTGCCCTCTGTAGACATGGGTGCCCGCCATCTGTCCGTAGGAGTGGACTGAGACGGACCGGTGTCCAGTCTCGTGACTGGGCCGGAGGGTCCACAGCCCGCCTGGCTGGTGCGTCTCTCTGCTGTCGTCTCAGGTAGCGCCCCTGCAGACGTGCGCGGCCGCCGCTCCCGGTCGTCGGTGGTGCTAGCCGGACGGCGCTCGGCGCCCGGCGACCGAGCGCCGATCGATACCGGCCAGACTCCCGCCGAAAACGCCGCCCATGGCGGCCGGTGGGTGCGCCGAAAACACCGCCCGTGGCGGCCGGTGGGCGCGCCGAAAACACCGCCCGTGGCAGCCGGTGGGCACTCCGTAGACACCACCCATGGCAGCCGGTGGGCGCGCCGAAAACACCGCCCATGGCGGCTGGTGGCGCGTCGGCCACGCCCGGGCGCCTCTGGCTCCGCCGGAGGGACGAGACCCTTGACCGCGTCCCGGGCCCGCAGGCGGCGCCGCGCGCACCGCCGCGGCGAGCGGTGCCGCGCGCCGCCGTCCCCCCGCCGCCGCCGTCGCCCGAGCCCCAGTATCGATCCGCTGTCGCCATCGTCGGCTGGCGGCTGCGATTTAGGTCACAGTGCCGACGACCAAGGATGGGCGGCGGCGATCGGAGGACGGCGCCGCGACGTCTTGGTACGGCTGACCACATAGGCGGACAGTCCTACCTCGTCCTCCCCAGTCCGCTTGCCGCCCCCACCCCTCCCCCCGCCCCGAAAATTGCCGCACAACTGTGCGGTGCTCAGCAATAAAGCTAGTCACAACCCAAGGCACGCCCTTCGTCGGTATACCAGCTAGCGCAGTTTTGTTTTGTGTTGATTGAGGGTGGGATTTCACGAGCGCACCATCTTATTTATACAAACCTGCTGTGGGGCTGTTTTGGTGCAGCGCGGGCCGGCGCCGCGCGGCCGGTCACCACCGGCGCCGGTGCGCGCGTGGGCTGGAGCGCGTCGACAGCTGAGCCGGCGGCGCGCCGGTCGGCAGCCTCCTCGGTCCGGAGGTGGCGGCCGGCGCCGGGCCGGGCCCGCCGCCGCCGCCGCCGCCAGCAGTCTCCCCTGGCGACGGCGGCCGCCACCGGCCCGCCGCGCGCGCCTGCGGTCAGTCAGGTAGTCCCGTGTCACCTCCAGGACACATCAGTTAGCTTTAATGGTTGCGCACCCGCGCGGCGCCGTGTGCGCGCCGGGTGCGTGCGTGTGTAGGGCGGAAGTGCGTTCCTCAATGTGCGCGCGTGTGTGCGTGCATATGTACGTGATGCCTGTATTTGTTCGGCTGTTCCGGATACCGTTAAGCTAGATTCATGCGCCGGCTCAACTGTCCAGTTAGCCGGCTTGGCCAGCACAGGTTCACGTCATTATATCGTTCATAATTTCCATAATATGTGTTAAGTCACAATGAATAAATGTATGGTAAAGTTCGTGACTCTGCTTGGGCGTCCGAGAATCCGCGGAAAACCAATTTTGGGACAATTTTGCCACCATAGTGGCATGCCGAATAAAAGGTTCAGCGGAATCTGCTGGGCGTATATTACCGTGATGATGCAAGATGCACTATGTACGTAAGATGAATTCCCTCCCTCTCTCTCTCTCTCTCTCCTATTCTCTCTCTCTCCTCTCTCCTCTTCTCTCTCTCTCTCTCTCTCTCTCTCTCTCTCTCTCCTCTCTCTCTCTCTCGCTCTCTCTCTCTCCTCCTCCTCTCTCTCTCTCTCTCTCTCTCTCTCTCTCTCTCTCTCTCTCTTCTCTCTCTCTCTCTCTCTCCTCTCTCTCTCTTCTCTCTCTCTCTCTCTCTCTCTCTTCTCTCTCTCTATCTCTCTCTCTCTCTCCTCTCTCTCTCTCTCTCTCTCTCTCTCTCTCTCTCTCTCCTCTCTCTCTCTCTCTCTCTCTCTCTCTCTCTCTCTCTCTCTCTCTCTCCTCTCTCTCTCTCTCTCTCTCTCTCTCTCTCTCTCTCTCTCTCCTCTCTCTCTCTCTTCTCTCTCTCTCTCTCTCTCTCTCTCTCTCCTCTCTCTCTCCTCTCTCTCTCTCTTCTCTCTCTCTCTCTCTACCGTTATTTATGAGATACCAACGCGAGTTCCGCGTTAACAATCTGCCCCTAAATGTTTTCCATTTCTTGCTTGGCTGGGTAAGGATGAGGGGTATATACGTATATGATGTTGCCGATCGTCGTAGTCACTGTTTTAAAGACTTTTCAGATAGAAATATGCAGTGTGCTTAACTAACGCATTTATTGCAACGCTGATTGGACTCTCATCATCTTCAGGTATGCTGCGGAATGTAGCACATGATGTCAAGATAAAATAAAAAAATTACCACCTTTTTAAAAAAAAATCCATTCTGCGTTTAATCACATACTAGCACGTGTGCTTCCAACGGGAGAGTGTCAGTTAGTCTGTTAAAAGTTCCTATTCATGTCACTAACGCCTGTCAAACAGCGTGCAGGTACTCGTCATCCTTTTCCGAATGCTCATCATGGTCGACATATCTGGTATAAAAACATATTCAATGATGGGTGGTCTCCGCCGGTCATCGCAAGTTGCCAGGCTAGTATCAGGGACCAGGATGTTATGCATCAAACATTTTTGGTGACAGTCTCTCAGATTCCCCTTCAGACCGCCGCTGCAGACGACTGTGCGTCTGCAGATGACTGTTTACGGATGTCACTGTATGGAATATGTAGCAAACTTTGAGGATTGTACAGTTTCCGTGGGTTCGTGAAAATCGTTATACTGTGACTTTATGCTCTACACTGCTCACTGTATATGCAAGTGTTTGAAGAAGTCAGTAACCCTACGGATGTTGCAACGCATTCCATAAGAAACTATCTTGGGCTCTGATAGTAAATGGTGAGTGCAAGCTTTTGCTATGGTTGCCGCGGCCTGCATTTCTTAAGAATCATGCTACGGGTGAACTTCTCCTTCTCACAGGATGGTATCGTGCTTTTGTACAAAAAGCTTGGCATCCTTAGAAGGTTCATCTCGCTTTCTCTTGACTGGGCTGTGGTTCTTATACGCCATCTGCTTACAGTTAGATGGAATAGATGCATGCAGCATACACTGATATGTATATATATATATATATATATATATATATATATATATATATATATATATATATGTAGCATATAGATACAATGGAAACGCAAACCTTCAGATAATAAATTCTGTACGGAGTCTGGGGCAATCAGACAAGCTGACATTCGTGGGGAAAATGTCATGACATTTGTTACGCTTGCCAGAGTGGAATCGCATGCCAATTCAACGCTGCAGATGACGACAGCCATTCGTGTCGGTTCATATATCACCTGAAAAGCTAGCATCCAGAGGCTTCCGTCGAAGGCCTGTCGTCACGGCAAGCCTGCCAGCGTAGTGGACTTGGACTGAAGGCGTGCTGCCGCCGTCGCTCCCCGCCCGTGGGTGACTTGGACTTGGACTGAAGGCGTGCTGCCGCCGTCGCTCCCCGCCCGTGGGTGACTTGGACTTGGACTGAAGGCGTGCTGCCGCCGTCGCTCCCCGCCCGTGGGTGACTTGGACCTGGACTGAAGGCGTGCTGCCGCCGTCGCTCCCCGCCCGTGGGTGACTTGGACCTGGACTGAAGGCGTGCTGCCGCCGTCGCTCCCCGCCCGTGGGTGACTTGGACTTGGACTGAAGGCGTGCTGCCGCCGTCGCTCCCCGCCCGTGGGTGACTTGGACCTGGACTGAAGGCGTGCTGCCGCCGTCGCTCCCCGCCCGTGGGTGACTTGGACTTGGACTGAAGGCGTGCTGCCGCCGTCGCTCCCCGCCCGTGGGTGACTTGGACCTGGACTGAAGGAGTGCTGTCGCCGTCGCTCCCCGCCCGTGGGTGACTTGGACCTGGACTGAAGGAGTGCTGCCGCCGTCGCTCCCCGCCCGTGGGTGACTTGGACCTGGACTGAAGGCGTGCTGCCGCCGTCGCTCCCCGCCCGTGGGTGACTCGGACCTGGACTGAAGGAGTGCTGCCGCCGTCGCTCCCCGCCCGTGGGTGACTTGGACCTGGACTGAAGGAGTGCTGCCGCCGTCGCTCCCCGCCCGTGGGTGACTTGGACCTGGACTGAAGGAGTGCTGCCGCCGTCGCTCCCCGCCCGTGGGTGACTTGGACCTGGACTGAAGGAGTGCTGCCGCCGTCGCTCCCCGCCCGTGGGTGACTTGGACCCGGGCTGAAGGAGTGCTGAGCGCCCCGTCACCATGGGTTATTCATTTTTACGCCTGTTGAAGACTTAAGGGAATGCCCCACATTCGAAGATATTGAAGCAAGCATCAGATATGATGAAATAAGCCCTCTTACAAATATTTGTGTACAGCAAGCGAAAAATGCTGCTCTAGACAACACAAGTTATCCATTTAGTAGACGTGCTTCTCAATATCTTATTGTTTGATTGCGTTGCGCAACGTTTGTTTGACGTTGCGGTGCTGCCAAACTAGCTGTGCGAACTTGCACGCTAGCACTCACTTGTAGCACTTCATACTCGCTGGGAGATGGCAAAATCAGTTCTGGAATGGTTCGCTGAGCAAAATATTGTCACGTGCCCGTTTTTTACCCTTTCTCGTGGTGTTAATCCGTGAGTGGAACACGTTTTCTTACATTCACGTGCTTGATTATTGCGCTATTCTTAAGTTATTCGATTGCACGTGTTATTTTCGTGCTAACTAGGAAATGAAGGATCCATGGCCAACTGCTCATATTATGTAGTCCAGACGTAATCAGTGGTTCAGGCTGCACAGCTTGCTCAACATTGATTAACAGCCAAATGACGTTTACTTTATTTGAAAATCGTGCTAACGGTTGCCAGATCTGAAATACTGGACAACAATATTCTTCCTCCTGTTCCTGAACGCCACATGATCTGTCCAGTGGCAAGATTTCACTGGCGTTGCTATAGCGTCATGTATGCCTGAATGTCCTTGAAATGGTGTGCACAAAATAGTCTCCACACATTTCCTGGTGGGTGGCTCCGAAACCAGAGAGGTTTAGATCTCAAGAAGGATAGGGCTGTGAACAGTACCGAATGATCTTCAAGGTGGCAAACCCCATACAAATGTGAAGCACTCCCCTAAATCCGTGTGGGTTTTAGCGTGGGGATAGGGACTGATGAAGATGCTCGTTACTGCGATCAATTGCGCGAATAAGCATGGCTGCACAAAAGCACAACAACTTTCAGACACTTTCAAAAAAACAAAAACAGATAAAACAGCGTCAACCCTGCGAGACCCGAGATTACAGCACGTCAAATTGTATGCAGCGGCTTGCCTGACATATAGCCACTAATCTCGGCTTCTGCAACTATTCGCGTTTAAATGAATAGTACTCGATATTGTTCATTTAGTAATAAATTATAAATGACTATAGATAACCTGTCTGGGCTCTCCGAAGTTCGTGGCATGCCATGTGTCATGCCACTGAAAATGTGCGCCAAACCGCCAACGCACGAGCAT